TAGTTTTAAACAAATGCATATACATTCAATTCTATGTGAGTAAATGCACACTGAAAGAAAATACAACTTACTTTAGGTCTGAAATTGGTGGTTGGTCCCACATATTCATGTTGGGCTTTTAAAGTTCCCCAGGGATGATGTATTTTGAAGCATTCGTTGCAATAACTTGCACTACAATCCATGCAGCTCTTTGTGGATTCTTGTGCTGGAGGTTTACAGAGATCACACATAATAGCTGTGGCTGCCCTTGCTGCCTGCCTGTACCGTTCTACAATAGTTTCCAAGGTGACGTTTCGAAATAGGCCACTGATGCCACGTTCTCCTAGATCTACATCATGCCGGCATCCTGGACAAGGGAAGGTAGTTGTCCTAGGAGTCAATGAATTGCGTTTCCAACCTGCATAGATGGTAGGATCTGGTTTAATTACAATGCAATAAAACACATTTTACTTTTTCGAGAGATGTAACAAATGCTAAAATACTGGATTGCATTTTTAAAAAATTAATGTACATTATAGGCAGATAGTAAATGAGTGTCATAGAGTACTATTATTAAACAACTTTTCAAGTTTTTACTAAATATCTCAAATGAACTATATAATCTTAACATGGAAAATTACACTACTTTATAAATGGACAGTCCATGAGTAAAATGTTGAAATGAATACATATAGAATATAGTAACAACCGTAATAGAAAATAGTTTAATTTAAATGAGAAAGATTGTATAATAGGAAAGCTTTGTTCAGATCCTTCCTTATCTGGAAACTCACAAATAACTTTTAGGGTCTCCCAACTCAATCTGTCACAAATATTTTTAATAAGGTATCTACTGATTCCAATATTGTTGTAGAGCAGAAACAGGGAAAGAAAGAAACAGCCTTTGAAGCAGAGGAATAATATAATACTTCATTCCAAACTGCAAGCAATTACTAACTAGCCATTAAAATTGCCTCATACAACAGGGTTTTTTTCCATAAACATGAAAATATATGCATGTCACATGCTTCAATATTAGTAATATTCTTTTGAAGCTACATGATCAACAGCCCCTTAAAATATAACTCATGAAATCCTATTAGCATCAGATGCATATGAAAATAGAGACTAGTCCATCAATAAACTACTGTAATTTCAAATGATTATTAAAAAATATTTGTTGGGACAGCATGCTTAATCTAAAAAGATCACGCATGCTACAGCATAACACACATGCCTTCTTAAAATTAAAATAAAGCATGTTCTAAACAAAACTTAACTCACAGCACAAACACTACTGATATAGTGAGAAAGTAAGTGCCACTGAGTTAATGGGAGTTGTTTAAAAGTAATTGATATAAGACTCCAGCCTTTAAAATGTATAAAAGTAGGAGGGTATACTGTACAGCATGCAACATGCAGTTAAGCAGTGGCACAGAAGCAATCTTACTGACAAATTAAGCAGGAAACCATTTTATTCAAGTTATGATTAAACAGATATGAAAAATAAAATGTAATATAAATTAAAGTGCAGTGGTCAAGTTTTGATAGGATGATTTGAAATGTTTATATAGTAACATGCTTTTGAAATGTTCATAAGGCCAAAAATTTTCATTGAAGCCAAAGCATGAATGCCTAGAACTGTTGCAAGTTTAATTACAAATAAAAGCAATGATAATGAAAATATGTGATGTGACGCTGATGACTGCTATAAAGACATCTAAAATATTCTGTCCCTTTTCATGTTGTCTATTTATATGTGCTTAAACTAAGGTACTATATGGCATTTTATCCTTATTTGCACAAATATCATAGACTTCAGGCATTATTATTTTTTGTAACAAATCTTTGTCTGGGCAAGATTTATTTGTATTTGAATTTAATAACAGTTTAAACATACCAGCACAATCAATACAGATTGCCAGGACATTATTTGTCCTTGTGTTTTCTCTATTACACTTTATATCCAGAGTATGAGTTAAGAAAACTTCAGCTGGGCTGAACACAGTATGTCCCTGAAGTATCTCATACTCCAATTAAGGTACTGAGTTCAATTTTTAACCACAAAAGAGCTTGGTACCTGGACATTTAAGACATCTATTAATCTGCATTAAATTTAAGATTTTAGATATCCTTCAATGAACATCTCCTTTGCATAGCACCAGAAGTAGGTCAACATTTAAGAATGCCCATATTTTTATATTTTCCTCTACCTATAAAATACAGAACTTGACAAAAACAGATGGCTAAAAAAAAAGATGCTCATCATTTGCAACTGCCGTTTTTGCTTCCAAGAGACATGCAAGAATATTAGCTGTGGTTGCAAGGCAGAAAGTTCTTGTATCACTGCATGTAATGTAACAGAGCTTCTACTACGCAGGGAGAGAGAAATTATTTTATTCAATATTCTAATGGATTCACAAATAATTCACAATACCACATGATAAATTAGAAAAGGGATAATACACCCTTAATTTATTGTAGAGATCTGTATCAACAGTATACTAGCATATCATATGAAAAATAAGAAGAATCAGTTCAGGGAGTGTATTTAACAAACACTCAGCAAACGTAAGTCAGCTGGATTCATATTTTGACACTAACAATGCTCTTCCTACAGCAACAATGGTCTTTCTATCTATTGATATAATATTTTAAGATTATTAGAGAAAGACAAAGATTGAACTGGGAACTAAAACTGGAAACTAAATCATAGCTTCGGAATAAGAATTTTTGAACAGAGGTGACTGGATCTAATTAGAATAATAATATCTAAAATCTTTATCCTCACACTGGAAGCCTTTTTGATTTCATTCATTCTTTTGGGGCATTCAATCCTCATTATGAAAATAATGAAAATACAAATCTGGTAACAAAAATCAATGTGTGGAATACATCTTACTTTTACCATTATTTACTTCCTTTACAACAGAATGAGACTGAAATTCTTTTACTAATACATTTAAATATTGCAACTGACATCTATATTTTTTCAAAACTTATTTGTGTCAAAGGAGAACTTAGAATATCAAAACTAATAAAACTTTTCACTTAACACATCTTGGTAGCATCAGAATCACTAGACCAAAATCCAAAACATCATTTATTACTTCTAAAGTTAATATTTAATTCATGTTTTATGTCATCTAATATTACCCATCTGAATCCAGTGACCTCTATATGCATTAGCAAAAATGAAAGTATTTTTTGTTTGCAATATTGCCCAACTGATAATTTTGGACTTGACCACTGATACTTAAAATAATTATTCTAAACTTAGTATAATAAGATCCATGTTCTACCAAGTTTTATCTACAGCCATATAAAAGCAAACATTTCTACCTCTCAACCCATGAGGCCTCCTCTGTGAGGCTGTAAACAGTGAACAGAGAAGCATCTTTAGAAGCTGAAAAGGAAGGATTCTTGTACTGGTTTACAGTGGTATGCTGGAGATAACATAGCATTTCATAACAGCAACTTGGTTAAGTTTAAAGCCATGCACATTTATTTGGAAGTTCCACTGATGATTAATGGGATTGACATTTGAGTAAGGAAGTATCAGAGGGAAGAAAAAAAATTCTATTACCATCTATATCTGAAAGATAGAATTATATTAAAACATACTTTATTTATGCTTTTAACTGTAGAATTGCTAAGATTTCAAGCATTTTTCCTTAAAATGTTATTTATTTTATTAATAAATCTAATCAAACATATATCAACTTAACCTGAGGACCCCAAATTCTTAACCTCACATCTATGGTTCTTTAACACCAATAACACCATCTGTCTAAATATTTAGACAAAAAAAATTACAGGTTAGTTTGAAAACATTATTTCATTACAGGTAATCCTTGACTAGCAGCCTGCCCATTACATATAACTCACTATGGCCATAAAGTGATCACCCCATGACCAGACCCACTTTTATGGCCTTTTAAGCAGTTGTTAAATGACTGGATTGTCGTGGTCATTAAGTAACCACCACAGTCGTTAAGCAATCACCACAATGGGTTAAGGAAACCCATTGTTTGCTATGGAGCATTTTTGCTAAAAACAAGAAGTAAATGCTAGTTTTCAGCAAAAATGTTGTAAATTGCAGTCACATGACTGTGGGACACTGCAAATGGCCATAAATGTGGGCTTACTGCTGAACATCAAAAATGCAGTCATGTGAATGCAAGAAGGGCACAGCAGTCATCAGAATTCTGGATTCAGGTCATAAATTTCTTTCAAGTGGTCCACTAAATTTCATACACTTGCTAAATGACCAGTCGTAAATCAAGACTATCTGTACTAAATTAAAGCAATATGAAACTTGCCGAATCTGTATTAACTAAAGGTCTAAAACAATGAGGGGATTTGGTACTAGAGCTTATGAACTCTTGGTTCAAGGCAACCAATTAATATTCATATTTTATACACTTTATGATCAGTAGGAGGTCATCCATGACTCACTGATTTTTAATTTTCAATTCCATTTACAATTGCTAAAATTATTGAGAATCAAAAAATATTGGTAATCTAATGAAAATGATTCAAAGATCCATTAGATAACAATCTATCATCTTGGACAATACCAGAAAGACTGCACTAACATGAAAATGACCATAACTCAATCACCAATGCATATGTTTTATATGCAAAAGGTGATAGGTTCATCCTCTTGGTACCCATATTTAAAAGAAGGAAATACATGATACACATGACCTCTGCCCTAAGAGTCTAGGGCAGAGGTCATGTGTATTACATATTTCTAGTCAAAATAAACAGCTCTGGACTAGATGAATAGGTTGTCAAGTTGATGAAAACATTTCACAATTTTGGCTGGGTTTGTGAAAAATGCCATTATCATATATGCAGATGAAATCAAATACAGCTGAGTAGAGAAACAAGTGGATAAATCAACACCATGATCTCAGCCAGTCTTCCTAGGATTGCATTAATTTAGTAACTTTATACAGATGCAAGGACCTGGAAATTAAATCAGCACAAAAGCATGGCATATTCTTAGAAAAGTGAAGATGCACATACTATGAAGTAATCAAGCACTGTATTCAAGTAAACAATTAAGCTTTGCTCTACTCTAAATGCTAGAGACCACTAATTTCATGATGCTACATATATGTGCATAGATATACAAAATATAAAACCTATTTTGTTAAACATTAATACCCTAACCCCATCTTGACAATGTAGCAAGAAAGCATCATTTTATACTACTTTTAATTCATTGGTTATTTAATAATACACTGTGCAATTCACATGATACTAATCAAGAGATTATATCATTTCTAGTGTTCCACCAAAGCCTATCTACTGCTCAAGCATTTTGACCTAACTGGGTGTAGCTATCATGAAAGGTTTTAATATTGTACTTTGGTATGGTGTTATTATTTGTTATTTATTGTTTTGTAAGTTATCATGTTAAAGAAGAATTTAAAAAAATAACTTTTTTTTACATACCTGATCTATTAACCCTGTCAATTCTATCCAAGCTAGGGGAATTCATTCTACTGCGAGGGCTACTATGATTGGAAGTTTCTGAGGCAGCATCATTGAACGAATCTTCAAATGTTAAGTATAGAATTTCTTTTACACATTTGTGGCAGATACTATGTTGACAAGGGAGAATAAGTGGATGGGTAAATAACTCCTTGCATGCTGGGCAGATGAGCTCTCGTTCAATATTCTTAATGGTAACCTATAAACAAAAAGAAATGAGAAACTGGTAAGAAATGCCATGATGGCTACAGACAGTAAAAAAAAATAACATTATTTCAGTCAGGTAATTTTAAAGAAATTAAAATATAAATATGCTGCACTTTGCTATTTTGACATTCAGCAATCCAGATAATCTATAATTTCCATTGCAAACAGTTGTTCATACAATAACAGAAGACAGCAAGATTAATAACTAAAGATTACTGTTTTGATTGAGAGATTAAGAGCAGTCAAAAATGAAATACTAACTTAATACATTTAATAAGAGCAAGAACATAAAAATGAAATGGGAAAGAATATATAAAATATGACCAAATAAGGTAGAGGATATGGAAGTTTATTAACTGCCTTGAAAGGAAGGGTGATTTTTTGAGCTTAGTGAAAAATTACTTTGAGCGAGGGAAATGCTCTGCAGAAACCATGATGTATTATATGTTTATTTAAAGTAGTTGTATAGCTACAGCTAAACTGAAAGGAAAAAAGGAAAAGTAATTGAATTATATGGCAAAAGGCTATTTGTAATTCATTTGTACTGTTAATATTACATTCTTACTTACCTAAGAGTTATACTGACTAAACATATATAAGTCTATACTATTTTTTCCAGGTTTAATTTACTATATGTGTTGACTACTTTAATCTTATGATCCAAGCTAGTATATAATTATGGTTCATTGTACAATCAGCCATATGTTCAGACTGGATTTGGCATTTTTGTCTACCTACTGAATCCTTCCAAGGACTCAATAGATAAGATATTAGATAGCATTACAGATATTGTCGCAGGATGTAAGCTGTTCTGAGTAAAGCTGCCTTTTGCAACTGACTGATGGTGAATTTGTCAATGCACATGGTTCAAGTGGTGCTTCAGTTGTTTTGGGATTGCACCCAAAGCTCCTATTACTATTGGTATTACCTTTGCTTGCTTTTACCACAGTCATTCTATTTCTATTTGCAGGTATTTGCATTTTATTATCTTCTCCAATTCTTTCTCTTCTATTCTGCTGTCTCCAGGTACTGCCATGTCCATATCCAGACTTTTTTGTCTTTCTTATTGACAACTGTTAAGTCTGGGGTTTTATGAAGCAATTGTCTGTCTGCTTGAATTCTAAAGTCCCAGAACAATTTAGCTTCTTAATTTCCTATGACTTTATTTTATTATCCCACCAGTTGTTGCTTGCAGGCAAATGATACTTCTTGCAGATCTTCCAATGCACAATTGTTGCTACTTTGTCATTGGTGTTGATAGGGAGTGAGAGGTCCAGTTCACAGCTTCTCCTTTGTAGCGTGCTACATAGCTCGGTATTCTCTCCATTCTTTTTTAACATATAAATGAAGCCACTGGGTGATATCGTCTATCAAAATGGGATGATGTACCATCAGTATGTTGATGATATTCAACTTTACATCTCCAACCTTGGTGCTTCAAATAAAGCTGTTGCTGCCCTCTCACAGTGCTTGGAGGCTGTGGGGATTTGGATGAACCCTGGTAAGACCGAATGGCTTTGGGTATCTGGAGCTTCAAGGTCCAGGACTTTGACATCTTTAGTTCTGGATGGGGGTGGGGTACAGTGCCCTGATGTGCAACTTGGGGATTCTCCTAGACTCATAACTCCTGCTTAAAGAACCAGTGTCAGTCATGGCTAGATGAGCCTTTGGACAACTTCATGTTATGCATCATGTGTGTGTTTTCCTGGATCAGGAGCCCCTGCACTCAGTCACTCAGGCCCTGATCATCCCACACTTGCACTACTGCAAACCACTCTATATGGGACTAGCCTTGAGAAGTTTTCTGAACTCACAGTTGGAGCAGAATGCAGCCATGCAGATAGTCCTTGGGGCCCCTAGGATGGCCCATGTTATGCCACTGTTACGAGTTTGCTTCTGGATCCAATTCAAGGTGTTCTCATCTTTAAAGTCCTTCGTGGCATGGGTCCAGGTTATCTCAGAAACCATCTCACCTCAATGGGATTGGCCTTCCCCACCCATACTGGCAGAAGGGGCATGTAGACCCTGTCAATCAAGGAACTCCAACTGGTAGGAGACAAGAGAAAAGTCTTTTCTGCTATGGCTCCTGTCTTCTGGAACATAGTGCCCTCCCACAAGGTGAGATCTGCACCCACCCAAATAGGCTCTGCCAATTGGCCTGGAGCCCCAGTGAGGCCTTGTAATTGTGGAGGTGGTTAATAGATTAAGAAAAGACCCCACCTCCTTTCCATGTGCACCTTGCCCCCTTACTTGTCAATTTGAAATCAATCAAATCATTTTGAAATCTTTGTCAATTTGAAATTGATTTTAGTGTTATATTTATTGTTTTGATGTTTAATCTTGTATTTATTGAATGTAAGTCACCAAGAATTGCCTCTAGGCAAGATGGGCTTCATAAAAGTTTAATAAATAAATGAGTTGAAAACAAACAAGGGATAAAGAAAATCTTAAAATGATAAATTATTTTGGCTATATTATGTTTTTTACCTCTTGTAGAAAAACAAACAAATAAAACACTAGAGAACAAATACCAAAAATAATATTAAAATGTTTGATTTTGAGAGTTGCACTTTCATGTTGATACCATGGTATGGCAGTAAAATCCTTAAGAGTTTACCAAACCACTTTAAACATGAGAATTAATGTGATTTGTTAGAAATCTATTTTAGCCTAAATATTTAACAAAAGAATGAAAATCCTATCCAATTTATTATTGTATTTTCTAGTTCTAAAAATAGTACTACATAGATTGAAATGCCTGTGCTTTAAATAGACATTAAGTAAGCATATGGCAATTTTCTTTGCCTCCTTTCCAAAAGGATTTTAAAAAGAAAGCACATGGATAGAAAAGATGCTTGTCCCAGTTACAGTTCAGTCAGAATAAGTTATAAGTTGGTTGAATAAATCAAGAGATGTATTCTGCAACATTCAGTACTTCGCCTTTTGGGAATGGCAATTTGCAAACTCAGCCACCAAAGATTTAGTGTGGGATAATCATTGTTCATTCTCCAGAAAAAAATCAAAACAAAAAAAAATCACTTTCCACTTATCCAAAGAAAACAGGGAAATGAAAGAAATAGTTTTCCATGTTAATCTGTGATATGTTGACTAGTGACACAGTATTTTTTCAGGTAAACTGAAAATGTGATAATAGAGAGAGAGATGCATTTTTGTCACAGTTATTTTGTCAAAGGAATTTTGAAGTACCACAATCAAAACATATTTGCTCTGACATAAGCAAAATATAGAAACAAACTACCACTTCTGCATACATTTACTCAAATTCACTCAATAAAAAATTATGTTATTTTCCACTGTTTAAACATCAATTTCCACTGATAATTTAAATTTAAATTTCTTAAAGACCTATGATACTGACTCTCCCTTTTACTTTCTATAGCTTGACAATATGAACAATGACAGTATGCTTGCAAATTAAGATTTAACGCTTATATTCTAAATCAGGGGTTCCCAACCAGGGGTGTGAGACGATATTCCAGGGGGTGCGAGTTTAGAAGTTAGAAGTTTCAAAATTATAGTTATATGCATAATTCATTGCCATTATTTCGAACTTTTGTAAGGGGTGCGAGAATATATCAGAAGCATTCTAAGGGTGCTAGGTCTAGAAAAGGTTGGGAACCGCTGTCCTAAATGATAACCTTATTCTTCTGAAAGCAGACAAAATGAATTAAATGTTGGATTTTATAAAGTTTTTCTTGAACAATAAGTTATCTGCCACTTTGGAACATACAGTAAATACCTTTTTAAAATCTACCTTGTATGCTATAGAGTTGAACATCTGACATTCAACATCAAATATAGCATTTTATGTAAAGATAAATCACCAAGTGGTGATCTTCCATCTTCGGTTTTGGATTTGAATATGAATCTATTTCATCCTTCTTTCAACTGAATTTTTGAAAACATGACTCAGAGTGAGAATGGATATTGCAAGCTAACAGGGAAAGTATTGTTTTGTTTGTCACCCTGAATCACTGAGACCATTGGGCATAGTATCCACCTGGATCACTTCTCCAGAATACTATTTGGGAGATATGATATTACAGCAGAAAACTGTTCTCAGAAAATTGTATCGGAATGCATTACACTGACTTTTGATATCTAGGCTTTTGTTATGGCCTTTACGATACCTTAAGTTACTCTTATTTATGCTTTTCAAAATTTATGTAAGCAAGCTCTGAGAAATTACTGGAAGGCTTGATCTAAGATACCATCAACAATCCAACCTCTTTTGCATCTACTAATCTCTGGAAAATTATTAGTTAAGGGTTTCAAGGAAGCTCTCTACATAGGGTGAAGATAGACTAAATAATCATTACATACTGAAAAACTATTTATACAAAAACAATTTGGAAAATAAATCCTGAAAGGAGTTGCAGTGAATAACTAGGTATTGTCTTTGGGTTCACTAATCCAGGTGACTTTTTTTTCCAACTTCATTTGTTTACCAACAACTTTCCCTTCAACTTCCCCACAACCTGTTTTCATGCAAATTAGAGTGATTTGCATTGGTTGTCTTTGTTTGAGAAACCTGCTGCAGTAATGCAAATTTGAGTAACAATGTGGAACCTCGTCTTCTTTGGCCTCTCATTTTCCCAAATTTATTTGTATACATTCATTTACTTTGCTCCATATATGCTTTAGAAAGCAAGGCTGAAATCATCTTGTTTGCTTGTGCAAAGCAATTCATGAGTGAATGACTAATTCCCTCTGTCTAATCCAGTGGTTCTCAACCTTTTTAATGCCGCAACCCCCAACCGGTCGTAAGTCGAGGACTAAACCGGTTGTAAGTCGAGGACTACCCAACCGGTTGTAAGTCGAGGACTACCCAACTGGTCGTAAATCGAGGACTTTCCCTGCCCGGGAGCGCCGCGCATGTGTGGTTCCGCCCCCTGCGCCGGCCGAGGCATAGCTGGCAAGCGGCAGAGACGGAACAGGCCGACCACCAGCTGGCCCAGCCCAAGGGAGGTAAGGCACCCGCCGGAAAAGGAAAAAAATGGCGGACAGCCTTGCTTGGCGACCCCCGTGAAATGGTCGATCGACCCCAAATGGGGTCGCAACCCATAGGTTGAGAACCGCTGGTCTAATCAATACTTTAAGACACACAGTGAAAAGCTGAAAGATGGACTGCACCTACCCAGCCTAGATCAAGAGAATATGAAGGATTGGCATACCCACTTGATCTCTTACACAAGCTCCAATAAAGCGTTCCTACCACACATCTGCAACAATGCAGATACTCCTGAAAGATCTGAAACAAGTCGTGGTCAAAGCCTGAAATAGCCGACAGCTCCTCCTTGGGATAGAGTCCATCGAACACTCAATTACACACTATGAGTTTGCACAAAGCGCTTTGGTGAGAGCACACCCCCAGGCTCCCAGCTTATGCCTCAAAGCAAACAAGGGGGTGGGAGAAGAGTCAGCCTTCAAGGGAAGGACGGGCGAGGCTATTTGGCCAGCCAGCTGCTGAAAAGGCAACCACAGTCGCTTCAGAGAAGCGAGCGGAAAAGGCTGCCACGGAGTTCTGCTTTTGCAGCCGAGCCGTGGGGGAGAAAAACCAAAGGAGACAGGGCTCCCTTCCTCCCCACCGCTCGGGAGGAAGACACGGTCAGCCCCACAGGACGGGAGAAAGCCTCAGTCCCTCCCCCCCCCTTCCCTCCCAAATGACGACCCCCCCCCCGTGTCAAAGCCCCAACCTCGGGGGACCCTCCCGTCTCCTCAGCTTGAAATTTCCCTCTCAGGGAAACACTCACGACGGGTTCCAGCCGGTCCCCTTCCATCCTGGAATCGTCACTACCACTGACGCCGCTTTTGGTCCCGGACGGTTGAGCCGAGGGTGGCACGGGACGCGCGAGTCTGGTCCTCTCGCCCTCTTCGCAGACTCTCGGAACCGGTCGAGTCCGCCCTTCCCCCCCCGCCTCCCCGAGAGCGCGGCGCGAGGGAAGGGAGCAAAGAGAGCACGCGCGAAGCGGCTACGAGGCGCCCAGCAGCTGCCACTGCTGCCCCTAGGAAAACTCCGAGACCGGTCGGGGTGGACGGGTGGGGGAAAAGAGGTGGGGCCAGGGGAGAGGGGCGGGGCCTGCCTGGCAACAAGCCTTCGCGTCACAATGAGGGCGGCGCGTCAGCGCCACCTGGCACCTTTGTTGAGCCGCGGGTTAGGATGTTTTCTCCACCTTTCTCTTTCAAGGAAGGGAGCGGGGGAGGGCGGAACCTATAGAAGGAGCTCCCTTCCCTGGCACCTCGCCGTGTGGGAGAACCAGGAGGAGGAGGAGATTATAACTCCTCTCGGGAAGAGCGTCGGGATGGCCGTGCTTTTCAGCCGGGCTCGAATTAATCATCGCTGCCACCCATTTCCAGCCTAACGGAGTCTCCAAGGAAGTCCGCTAATGGCAGTTACCACCATTTCCAGCCTAACGGAGTCTCCAAGGAAGTCCGCTAATGGCAGTTACCACCATTTCCAGCCTAACGGAGTCTCCAAGGAAGTCCGCAATGGCAGTTACCACCATTTCCAGCCTAACGGAGTCTCCAAGGAAGTCCGCAATGGCAGTTACCACCATTTCCAGCCTAACGGAGTCTCCAAGGAAGTCCGCAATGGCAGTTACCACCATTTCCAGCCTAACGGAGTCTCCAAGGAAGTCCGCTAATGGCAGTTACCAGAAGGACTGCACATAACTGGATTTCTGTCTCAACGGTCAAAAAAGACGAGAGAGGGGAAGAAAGGAGGAAAAGGACGTGGTGTTTACATTGTTTTCAAGGCAAATAGGAGTTTTGCTTTAGAAACGACAATTACAGAAAGAATTAACGCATTTTACTAATTTTCCGAGCACCGGTCTAATTTTTCTTTTGGCAGAATCGGGAAAAGCCCTAATCTTAACTCGCTGATGCTTTTTCTAAAGCAAATTATGAGAATTGGCCCAGATTGGTTACCCTTTGCAAGCCTAGGGTTTCTCAAGCCATTCTTTTCTTAGTCTTGATTCCACTCCTTTATGAGGAGTATCAAAACAGTTTCCCTAGCCCAGGGGTAGGCAACCTTGGCTCTTTTACGACTCGTGGACTTCAACTCCCAGAATTCCTGAGCCAGCTATGCTGGCTCAGGAATTCTGGGAGTTGAAGTCCACGAGTCGTAAAAGAGCCAAGGTTGTCTACCCCTGCCCTAGCCTAATAGAAGAATTTTAAGAATTACACTAAACTGGGGAAATTACCTCTGAAAATATCTGCTTTGATAACTAACTGGAGCACGTTCAGTGCATGCAGTGTTAACTCTTAATAGTTGCACAAGCTTGTGCAGTGTACATTTGACATTTAAATATGTTTAAACACAGTCCCGAACCTATTTTTCTCCATAAAAACAATTTTATAAGGAAGGTTGGGCTGAGAATGACTGTGCCAAAGTCACCCAGTGGCTGGGGATCTATGTTGGCCATAAGGTATGATTTACAAATACATTATACCTAAGCCAAACCACATGCTTGGTGCAAAGTGTGAACTTAGTGAAATAGCATTAAGAAACAAAATATGCTTCCCTCCTGAAATATCACTTATTGGAGAGGTTTATTATAAAATGCTTATGACTTCCCATACTTTAAGGGGTTTTTAAGTTGAGACAAAGATATCTTCACAGCCTGAAGGCAATGGTGCATACCACATATACTCAACCTTGGCAACCCTAAGAAGTAAACTTCAATTCCCCCACAATTATAACTGACTAGTGAATTTTGGGAGTTGAATTTTGGGAATTGGAAAACACTGGTATACACATTGGTTTGTGATGCTAGGAACTGATGTAGAGGGAAGTTGTAGATAGACACCAGTCTTCCATCTGATTAGATAAATACTTTGGGAAAGTAAATATCTTCAAATTAATTCCTTTTACATCAAATGTCTTCAATTCACTTTTTTTTAAAAGAAAATTTGATTAAAACAAAGAATCTGACTTAAAGCTTTGTTTAAAACCATTTTTCTTTTCTTTTCCTGTATTCAGCTACACACACACACACACACATCTTAGGGCCATTCATCACTATGAGGCTGATTTCCATCCCTGAGTCAGCAGAAACTATGCCAATGTAAAAGATATTCTGTCAATTGCTAATCCCTAACCTGCTTCTAGTCATGCAAACCTTGACTTCCTTCCAAGAAGATAATATTTAAATTAGGTTATAACTTTGATATTGCCTTCCAATGCTTCTGAAAAGAGGAAAAATATCCATCATATACATCAAAGGAAAGCTATCTGACCTTGAACTAGAGACAAAATGAAGATAAATAATATGTATACTACAAACAAAAGCAAAAATGATGTTTGACTACATTTATGCTGCATTCAGATATCTTTAAGGGAAAATCTTTCATCACAAGCATAATCAAAAGTGATTCTACCATTGTTAATAAAAAAATAAGAATAGTGAATTAAAAATAATTTAGCATCTTGCATAGGTGATAACATTTTTATTTTTAATACAAGACTAGAAATGCCAGCTGGATGATTTTGGGCCACAATGCCAGCTAAGGTGACAAGCCAGATGGTCAATTCCTCACACAACCAATGGAACAATACTCAGTTGAACAACAACAACAACAACAAAGCAGACTCCTATACTTGCAGGAAAACATTAGGAAGAATATATGGATCCGCACATAAATATAAAATGGGCTCATCATAAAAATCTATGGAGATTCTCAATCATCCAGGTTATAGTTGTCCCAAAGGTGCTTTTCCCAAAGGCAACTGGACTTTTTTGGGGTTTTTTCTTTGAAAATATTTTGCTTCTCATCTAAGAAGCTCCTTCAGTTTTGAACTGAAGAATCTTTTTGAATGAAAAGAAACATTTTCAAAGAAAAAACAAAGTCTAGTTGCCTTTGGGAAAAGCACCTTTGGGGCTCATCATAAAACTTCAACATTCTTTATTTTGCAATAAAATGAGATCATAAAACTTCAACATTCCTTGCAAATACACACATACACACACACACACACACCAATAATGAGCTGCTGAGAGAATGCCTGAGGCAGCAGCACATGTGGAAGAAAGATCAAGCAGAAGTAGTGCCATGGCAAAACAAGACCCTGCAAGGGATGTACAATTGACAGATATCTGAGGTGGCAGACATTGGGAAATCCTACCAGTGGTTGGAAAGGGGTGGATTAAAAGACAGCACTGATCATAGCAGCATAAGAACAGGCACTAAGCACCACATTTATAGGAACAGAGATCTACCACACAAGACAGGCCAGGACAGTGGTTCTCAACCTGTGGGTCGGGACCCCATTTGGGGTCGATCGACCATTTCACAGGGGTCGCCAAGCAAGGCTGTCCGCCATTTTTTTTGTCCGCCATTTTTTTCCCCTTTTCCGGCGGGTGCCTTACCTCTCTTGGGCTGGGCCAGCTGGTGGTCGGCCTGCTCCGTCTCTGCCGCTTGCCAGCTACGCCTCGGCCGGCGCAGGGGGCGGAACCATGCATGTGCGGCGCTCCCGGGCAGGGAAAGTCCTCGACTTACGACCGGTTGGGTAGTCCTCGACTTATGACCGGTTTAGTCCTCGACTTATGACCGGTTTAGTCCTCGACTTATGACCGGTTTAGTCCTCGACTTACGACCGGTTGGGGTCGCGGCATTAAAAAGGTTGAGAACCACTGGGCCAGGACAACCCAAGGTGCTGGCTATGCAGAGAAGCCTCAGAGCATCAGAGACAATCGAACACATAGAGGCAGGGTATAAGTTGCAGGCAGGACCAGCATACACTGAACGGCACAACCAAGTAGCTGGCATTGTATACACTACAGGAACACTGGTAACATGGAGCTGCTGGGTGACATTGGAACCCAGATTTGCACCTTAGACCAGGTGCCATTCTTCACCCACTTTAGCTCAAAGCTGGAAGGGCATTATGACAGTGCAGTACACACTGCTGTTATTTGAAATCATTTTAATTAACAGATTACAGTAATCTTCTGAAACAATAATTGGTTTCAATCACCTATTTTCTTTGAGAAACATGTTCTCCTGGAATCTCGTTTTGGGGGATGCATTGCCTGAGTGGGACCACAGCTTGATGTAGGAATAATCAATCTCTTTCTGCCACTACCCCCCCCCCCTTTTTTTTCTGATATTCCCTACTTTCTTTCTCGCCTTCCCCATTTCCCATCCAAATTACACAGTAGGCTGCCAGAAAAGGAGAGATCATTTTGGCTAGAGATCCAAACTGAATGGAATTAGACAGAAACTCTAGCACTGTATAGAATATCAAAATGCATCATATTTATTAGGAAATAGATATATACCATTCTTTAGAACAAATATACCAAAACTATACAATTAGTGCAGTATCTTTAACAAGCAGCCACATATTGGCCAGCAAAATACAGCAAGGATATTAACACTATACATCTAACTATAAGACAGTGGCACCTATGGCACGAGTGCCAGAGGCGGCACTCAGAGCCCATTCTGTGGGCACGCGTGCCGTCACCCCAGTCCTAGGCCTTCAGCTGGGTTTTATAAAACCTTTTCGCTTTAGGCCTCCGCCGCCGTGTGCAAAAAAAAAAAAAAGGTTCAATCAATCAGTCAATTTCAACTTCTCGCGGGAAAAAAAAATCTTGCAAAGTTGGAATTGATTGATTGAACTTTTTAGTCCCACCCAGTCTGCCGTTACCACCGCAGCCACGCCCACCCAATAGACATGCCCAGCCAATGGGCCACACCCAGCCAATGGGCCACACCCATCCGGCACCCAACGATGCATAAGTGATTTTGGGTTGCAGTTTGGGCACTC